CTACATTACCATAGCATCGAATACATAAAGGTGTCCGGAATATAACACTAACAGTTAAACAGAGGATTCTATTTAGCACATTATTATATTTTCATAATTCACTATGTTATGGAATGTCACTCATGCTGGGACAATCCTAAAATAAATGTGTATGTCCTTCTAGATTGTAAGGTGAGTCATCTACAGTGCAAGTATGAGGTCTGTAAATTAAAAACAGCTGAAAACAACATATCTATAATTTCTATATTCCTATGCTTGACTTCGTTAATTGGTTGTTGCCATGAAACTGCAATCAAAATACTTAACGTAAAATTGTCAGAAAATGTAGCATTTTGTTCACGATGTACAGTATGTTACGTTGGGAACAGCAACGCTTAAATGTTATTAATGCTCAGTAAAATTTAAATTTAGTATAGTTTACAATATAAAAGTTATCTGAAGACACCGCTGGTTTGTTCTAATTCCTAATGCATCTGTATAATTATAGCTTATATATAAGGTTAAAACGGTGACACTGCACATCACCTTTCCTGATATCTGAGACATCAACATCAATAAACTATAATTCCACCATCAAAACACAGACCCTGGATATAAATAGATACTGTGATAATGGAAGCATAAGGTACAGATAAAATTCACAATCACGAGCCTGTTTTTTTTCTGAACCTATTTAAATATTTTTACTTAATAATTAGCACATTACGCCACCCGCTGTGAAGTTAGAAGGACTGCTGTTCTAACCGTTGTTTTATAGGAGGCCAGCTCGATTTTCATGATCTACATTTATCCGTTTGAATTAAAGCGAAAAAGCGACGACTCTTGTTTAAAATTAATGCCACCACCATTTTAGAAAGCTGCCCCTTGGCCGTGGTTAATTCCTAATCATCGTGATGGACAGCAGAGACAGAACAATACAAACTAATGGCTGTGTTGCTGATCACTCCGCTCTGTGATTAAAGACACCCAATTATGGCAATGAACAGTGTCGTAATTATGTTCCTTAATCACATCCAGGAGGTTTAATTGCCTTAACGATGTGTTTCATTAAATGAATTTAGGTATTATAGTCGACAGTTTTCATACACAGTTGTTTTCGAATTAACATAATATTAGACATCGTCATGGAAATTGTTTTAATAATCATAATTAGGTGCACCCAGGCTTTGTCATGTAACGCTAAGAGACATTTTTCCTTTGCCTCGGGGCTTCAGTTTTCCATCCCGTCTGGCCTGTCTTCGCTGGGCTTTGTGGCACTTCACAATTATGTTTCATGAAAAGTTACAGGTTCTGATTAATCTTTCCGATGGCAAGTGGAGCAGAGAATATTCATTCTATTTCTTCCACATTTAGCGTCATCGAGGACATATGGTGAAGTTCCGAAGACAACTACGCTGGATATTTTTAAAATAAGCCCTGTACTACAACCAACAGCACACCAAGGGCACACAAATTAACACTGACAAGGTGGCTACATACCCCTCCAGTTCAATTAGGTGGATATTAGGATACAAAAATACAAACTGCTGGTTAAGTTACTTACCAGTTAATTAATGAACCTACATTCCAGCTCTATGGAAAACACCCTTTTAGTTAACAAGACCAACGGCTTAAGACGCTTCCTAACAATAATTTCTGGTCCCTGAAAACTACTAGTTTTATTGTTTCTATAAGAAATCTAAGAGAGTAAGCAGAAAATTAAGATACGTAAATTTTAAGATTACATTCTCTTCTTCTGCAAAGAAAACTTAAGAAATATACAGTATGTCCCTACCCTAATACAATGAGAAAACGCGATTGCACCACTTTAAAGCCAGAAAGCAGCACACAGAATAATTAGTTTTGTTCAAAATATTTTAATAAAGCTTTCCAATACAGCAACACATACAAATGGCCCAAATGGCAGTCATAATCTGAATTCTAATGGATATCGATATTACCCCACGTACTGTATCCTTGACCTGGCAACCAGTCTGATCAAAGGTTATCTTTCCAGCCTCACTGAAAGAGTGCGAAAAAGGAAAATTATGAATTATACTTCACACCAGTCTAGGTCGCGATGAAGAAAATATACAGTGTCATGCGGTCATAAAATAAATAAATTATGCAATGGAAGTGAAAGAATTTCACCTTTAACAGGGCCTTCAAAATATAGCATGTCCATACACAGAAAAAATAACCGACAAGGCAAGTAATACAGAACCGTGAAAGATACTAGTATTTTGTACAGGTTTTTGTCTTTAAGCGGTTATGTACTCTGCAAATTCCAAATTTCAAACCTAGGATATTCACCTTAAGTCCTATTTCCTATTGTCATACAGTAAAGACGTCTTGTCAATTAATCACGTACTTTTTAAAGAGCACTGTTTCTTACAAGTTCCAGAAATGACCTCGATTTAAAAACAAAATACGTACTTTGAGAATAAACTGGATAAAAGCAGCAGCGTTGTTGTTAATGTTAATTAGCAACTGTTCATAAGGGTTATGTGTCTTTTCAAAGTGAAAAAAGGAGATGACTGAATGTTGTCAGGTCGTTAAAACAAGTAATTCCTTCGGGTCCATATCATGGTAAGTGATCAGTTACAAAGTGCACAATGATTTTCAAATAATTTAACGTTTGCAACCAGGCATAAACTTTTTTGTTTGGTTTTGATTTCCATTCTCGCCAGCACTTGGAACATAATTTATATTTACACAATCAAGTATATTCAAAGAAAAAAAAAACGTGTGTTATAGAGGCTCTCACTTCGGGTGCCTTTTTGTGAATCATAACAAAAAGTTTCTCAGCTTCGTTCGGCATCCTTTTCCGTATGCACAGGGTTGTTGGACTTTTGATCTCACCCAATGTAACGTTTCTTTTCGTCTCTGCACTTTTTTTTTTGCTGTGCTTTACTGTGGTTTACCTCTTGCAGTTCTGCTGATTTTTAAGGCTTGTCAGTGCACTGTTTGCAGAGGCTGGAGGTGACGTTGTTGAAAATGGTACATTTCTCGGGACAGGAGGACGCTGCAACTCCAGCGGGAAAGGGGTAACCAGCCGGCTGCTCATAGGCACCCAAGCCGGGGGGCAGGGCTGTCGTTGCTGGCAGAGAGGCTGCTGAAATAGCCTGGCCTTGGTTGAGGTAAGCCACCAACCTTCTCATTTCTTCCAGGGCTTGCGCCTGCATGAGAATGTAATTTTTGGCTAGTAGCAAAGTCGCAATTTTGGAGAGTTTCCGCACCGAGGGGCTGTGGGCATAGGGGATCACAGCTCTCAGTTCGTCCAGCGCATCGTTCAAATCGTGCATTCTCCTTCTCTCCCGGGCGTTGATGTTCAGCCTCAGTAATTTCTGCTCTTTGTTTTTCTTACCTGAGGAGCCTTCAGATTTGCCCCCAGAAGCCGCTGTCCTCGCGTCCGTCATGAGTACCATCTCGCACCTGCCGTCGCTGTCATCGTCTGGGCTCTGCTCCCCGCCGCTGCTCTCGGCTGCCGAAGTCCTGTTTCCACTTTCCCCGTACTTCACACACAAAGATCCGGTCGGAAGACCAAGCCCGCCTCCTCGACCGCCACCTAGACCCCCAGGCTGGAGTGGGTCTGAGTCACTCTGATCGAAACAGTTGATCGGTGACTGGCGATCCCGGGAAGGCAGATCGATACTGGCAGCTGATCTGAAAGAGTCCATCTTTTTGTTGGAAACCGCGCTGAGAGTTTTGTGAAAGAGGTCCCCCTCTGCTCCGTTCATGCTCATACTCCTGTCCATAGTCCTTTTGGGATCCTCTGTCCTGCCACAGTTCGGGTTGTTAGATCTGATAATGTTTGTAAGGCTCTGTCTTATAACTTGATCTTGACGCCTGCTCTACTTGTCGACTAAACTGTGGAGGCGGCAGCGCGCAGCGAAATGCCCTGCTCTGGCGTTTATCTTGCTTCGATTCACCTTCACGAGATTTCGAAAGCGATCAGCAGCAGCATCAGAAGCAGCAGACGGGGGAGTCTTTTACATCATTATCTCAAAGCAGGTTATTATTATGAAGAAGATTCGCCTATTGGGACGGAGCTTTCTACCCAATCAGGTTAACGTTTTAATTAATAGGATTAAAACGGTAACAAACAATCCTGGGCGCTATCTGCCCCCTCCGTCTGGATGGTCTCTACTCCCTGTTCTGATCAGAGGGACCTGCTTACAGCTTTATAAAAGGCGCCGGGTCTATTATTCGCACTGCCATCTGTATACACAACTTAATACATATGTTTGCAAGGCGTTGTGTCCTATTAGTAACCCAACAACTGCCTTTAGCTTGACATGTGTGGCGACTTTCACCCCTCAGTGAGCACACTAAATGCCCTCTTTGGAAATAAGGATTTTCATAACGCCTCTGATACTGAGGATAGCGGTTATGACCAAAAGAAGAGTGAATTATTGACGGCTGGGATGTGCGAGTTGATTGCAACATTTTAACTCTTATTAACAGATGTAAAAAGATCAACTTTTTTTGTTGTTGTTCAGTTTCTTCCTAGAGCGGTTTACAAGGCAGATACAATTTTTACTTCCTAACTGCAAGAATATGTAAAGTGCTGCTGGATGTAAAATGTAAATGATGGGATGACAATGCTTTAAAATGCTCGTAAAGACCCAAAGATGTGATGTGAAAAAAAGTCACTGTACCCAAGACAGTTTAGGCTACCGATTAAGATTTTAAATTTTCGCTGCATTACACGAAGCAAGCAGTTTCATCTTGATATTGTTAAATTTACTTATTTCGCTATATTTAGTACTGAACTGAAGAAAAATCGGGGTACGCTCTTGGTTTTTATCTGGCCATAACATACTGGTACGTACACTATTATTATGTCTTCTGTTGCATTTTAATTATACCATTAAACGAGTGACATTTTGAAGCAGGTCTTTCTGTTCTGACATCTGTAAAATAAATAGTTCGTAGCACCTCGAGCAAATTCATTTCTACCGAACGAGAAGAGGAGCCCCCGTGAAAGTGTTTGTTCCCCTGATTTCATTAAAAATCTTTTAATTGTGTGTTTCAGTGTTGGCCCCAGGTGCTAGGCTCTTTTCATTACACTTCACTCTAATGTGATGAAATTCTAATTCTCATCTTACCATATGGTTAAATTTTTCCGCTGAGAATTGGTTGAAGGGGGAGAAATAATCTATTAATCTCTATAATAGATTCACAAATGAGAGTTGCTACAGAACCTGTTTTGAAAGGTATTATCATAACAGTTGGGTGCTTCGTTTGATCAAGGAATGACCATCTTTGAACAGGAACGTTTGTTACTGCGGCTTCAACTTCATAAAGAGAGAATTCTCTCGTCTCCGCTGGCCGGCAGGGTGGTGTGTGTGTGTATACAGTATATGTGAATTGGGGGAGGGGTTTACTTGATCAAATTAAAAAGATTACCTCGAGCAAAATAACTTCTCTCTGTGGATGGACAGAAGGATGGATTTGTCTTCATAGCATCAGGGTGAAGTTTTAAATTTCTATGTGGAGGTATCATAGGAAAAGACGTGTGGTTAGCAGTTTAATTTCGTAAAAATGTATCGGGAAATCTGAAAATTTGATTTGTCTGTACTTTAATATGTATAATTACACAGTCACAATGTAATACATTGATGTCCTATTCAGCTTTTAAAAAGTTTAAAAGTACTTGAAGTCAGTTAACAAAATACCCGGAGTATACTTTTTGTTCTCACCAGATGTTCGAGGTTTAGTGTAAAAATACAATAATAGATACATTTGTAAGCGTGGAAATATTTTAAAACTAAATAAAAAAGATTATTAGTCATTGGTTGTCTGTTTAGTTTAAAGGAAAACGATCATTTTTACGTGCTAAAATCAACTATTAAAATAAAAATAAGTACTGGAAAAGAATATAATTATTACTATATTTAAAGATATTCTTATTCTTAAGGGACAACACATTAAATAGATAATTGTTGCCACTTCTACAGTTACTTAGGTGAAAATATTGACAACCGAGAGAATTGCATTTGAAACAAACTGTTCTCTCAAAAGTCTGAATATTTACGAAACGTATTTTGTTGCAAAACGTAACAGACGTTTGAAAAGCGAGTGTTAAGGCCATCTCTCATGTCTGCAAATCCAAAGGGGTTCTTACTACAGACCTTTAAAATTGTTATTACGTGGCAGAAGTACTGTAGAACAAAGCTAAAGGAATGATTTTTAAAAGAATACAAAATGTAAGAAGAACTGATATTTACTATGATGAAGATGGACACAAGTGGAAAATCCCAGAAAGTGAATCTTAAAGTGAATCTAAAAGGACACTACTCCTTGAAAAAAGGGTGGTTAAGTATAGAACACATGCCAAGGCATGGAGTTGAAGCCCATACTCCGGATTCCTTCAAGATATGGCTGAATGAGAGCAAAAACACCAATATTGCTAGTTTAATCTCTAGTGCAAAATGACCTTCTCTCGTTTGTTACCTTTCTTATCTCCTCTTGTTATGAAATTCAGTTTAAAATCTTGATGTTTTTTTTTGTGTGTGTGTGGAAATGTAGGGACAGTTTTCGAGATAAACAATAAGCATACAATGTAATCAAAAATATTTAATCTCGGACCAAAAGAAACGTTTTTCTTTGGTCACTGCTTTTACTTTTTACTGCACTTTGTAATAAGAACTCAAGAGGGTACGATGCTAAAATTTCCATTATTTAAACCCATATCGCCATCTAATGGCAAGAACAGTACACGGCAGGTCAGCGGTGATTGAAATACGTAATTACCAGCTAAGGAAGGTAGGTCCTCACTACCCTAGTATCAGCTGGTTTTCATTCAAGCTGGTCTGTCGGTTGCTAAATTGAACTAACGGAATTGACGCAGTACGACTTGTTTAACTGTTTTCCGTCTTTAAAAGTTGCTGTCTTTAAGTTACTTGTGTATGCTTTTATATGTACATTTAAATTCAATTTATAGGATTTAATAAAATAAAAAAGTCTAATTCATACATTATCATGAATTCAATTAAATTATCTCAACAAAACCAGCAGATACGGTTATAATAAAGGGGGGTTATAATAAAGAGGAATGAGAATGAATAATTGTCTCAGCAGGAGCCGCATACGGACTGGTTAAGGGAGCTAAATCTCTTCAGTTCCACACAAAGAAATCGAGAGGATGTTTTTGAAGTATATAAAACCCTAACAGGTAACAAAGGCTACAACAGGAAAGTAAAAATATATTTACTACGGAGAACAGGAAACAGTTCTTTACCGAAAGACTGTGTGAACAGGCATCCCAGCTTGTTGGATTATGGTCAGACACTAGGATCTTTTTAAAAAGCGTCTGGATTAGTCATTTTTACATTCTTATGTCACATGAACACAAATTAATAAGCCCTGGGCTATACAAATAATATGTTAACAACCTGCTGAAGTTCTGAACTTACTGAGTAACCTAAATGAGTAACAGAAATATCAAAATCCTTCTTTATTGCAAACTGACTCGCCTAAGGAAAAAAAAAATCAACAAAATATCATTCGTTCATTCTTGACAAGAAGAAACATTTTTGCTCATGTAACCTGTGATCTACTTGTTACAGAATGAGTATATTTCCCCCCAGGAAAAGGCTTTTTTAAAAGTAGAAACATTAAATTGATCTACTAAGTTTTGTTCCCCAGCTCTGATCCCTGAGGGCTGCAGACACTTCTGACTTCCACTCCACCTGAGATTTTAATTGCCTGATTTTACTAATTATTTTCTCACCAAGCTGAACTCAGGGAACTCATTATTTGGTTAATTAGGCCATTTTAACACTTTATTTCTCTAGATTTGTAAGTTCTCATAGTCTGTGTGCTCAAAGGCCAGGATAGAAGAGCTGCTTGAGTTCATTCCATTGCACAAAATACAGAAACAAAGTAAAAGTTAGGCCAAAAAGTGGAAACTAGAATGCATTACATGACGAGCAATTTACTGAAATATTATTGTCTTGCATATTCTTGCAATTATAGCACCTCCTTCTGGGCACACTTATAAAAGTTCTGGTCTCTGTAAATTGCTACACAGTAATCACTCATCAATTCAGTTTCTCATGCTTCTTCCAATTCAAGCAAAAAAAAAAATCAAGGAATGACCTCAGTCGTAGTTATTGAAATTGTTCTTTCAAACTGAGTCGTTTTGTATTGATGTAGAGAAATGTTTTAAATATTTCAAATAGCAAAAATTGAAAAAAAGTCCAAAGTTCTAATGAATTGTTTATTCAGCTACAGCATTGGTTGAGCAAAGGATGCTGCAAAATAGTGCTATAACATTACACGCTAAACACCTGCTGTAAAACAGTATGACCCAGACAATTATTACTTATTTATTTATTGTATTTTAATACAATAATAATGAAGTGAATGTCTGCATGTGTTTGGTATAGAAAATTCACAGACTCGAGAGGTATCATATGGCTTTTAATTTTAAAGTCTGCAAGCATGTGTATAAGAATAGTACAGTTTGGGGGGTTTTCGTTGGCTAATGTATTACTGTTTGTTGAAACATTCTGCACAATGGTGGTTGTGACTTTAAGCAATGAATTCCCAAGGGCTGAACTCCAAAGTCCCGGTTACAGCACACCACCCCTCTAGTGCCACTGCTGAAGACGTGTCCAGTATTTGCACAGACAGCTTTGGGGGAGGTGAGAAATCACAAATGGAATGCTCTTCCCAGCTATTGCCACCCCTCCTAGGTCTGTTGTTCCTTTTGTTCCCATAAACTACAGCATCAGCTCTTTTCAGAGAGATGTCTGCAGACAGCTTACAACCTTGCTTTGCAACGGTGGGCATCAAGGGTCAGTGAATTTGCAGGATTTCATTCCAGCTCAACTCTCAGCCATCTAGATGTGTTCATTCTTCGTTCTTTTGGAGTAGATGGGTCTTATCTTTTTTTGTGAAAGCAGATACCCTGCTAGGATCAGGTCTAAATCCCCTGTTATGCCCGCTTCCCTCCTCCCCAAATGTCTCACTCAGGGGTCTCCCACAGACGAGAGCAGTTCCCTGGTTTCTGTCACGCAAGGCTGGTATAAAAGAGATTCTGAATAAACGAGACCCATTATGACTCTGTGCCAAATGCACAGGTGGTCACTCTATTCTCCACACTATCTCTGCTATTTCCCAAAGCCTTGCTGGAGAAGAGAGTTAAAGATTGTGGTGTAAGTGATACAGCACCACTGTATTTAGTCCTTGTTGAGATCTGCTCTGTAGAAAGCTATAGTATGTTATACAGCCCATCAGGCTAAAGCAAAGATGGAAGCACCTGCTCAGCTTATCTCAAGCATTGATGTTTAGAAGCAAATCCTGATCAGTGGTTTGTGGCATCAGAATGTCTGTGTCTCCTTTCCAAATGAAGGGGTTGTCTTTTTGCAGACGTCGACAGATGTTCATCATGGTATTAGTTAACTGCTGCACAAAGCAGCAAGGAGAGTAGATGAGTCCCAGAAACACAAATGTTTAGTGATACGGAAGAAGGTTTGAAATCTTAACTGCCTGTGTAGTGACACTGTTGAAGATGAACTCAGGCTAGTCAATCCACATCTCTACAGCATCACTTGTGGACTGCAAAAGCACTGCATTGAAGGTGGCTACAGTATATATACTAGCACATGGTCAATAACAAATATTTGC